AGCTGAAAACAGCCCTCGCATATGGCTGCCGCTTTCTCACTCCATTTTTGCCTCCATCCCTCTCTCTCTCTCGCTCTCCTTCTCTCTCTCTCTCTCTCTCCCTCTCTCTCTCCCGTACACACTCTCACTCTCCGTGTGTGTGCAGCACTTAGAGAGCATTGGGTGTGAGTAAGGAGTGAGGAGTGCGTTGTCCTCATTTGGGACTTTGCGCACAAATCCAGCATAAGACAATAAAAATCGTTGTAGGTGAAGTGTAGTTAGTAGTCAGTACGTGTGCGTCCCTGTGTGTATGTGTGCGCGCGCTTAAAGCTTCATGGGTATTTAAATATAGCAGAAATATTAAATGACAGCCAAAAAGTCAACCTTCGCACAGCAATTGTTCCACTCGTTGCAAATAACCGGCGAGGCATGCAACTGTGGGCGAGGACAATGGCTGGGTCAGTGGGCAGGAGCTGCTCTGATAGTTAGTCTGGTTTAATTGCCAGCAAGAGAATAAGAATAAAAAGCAACAGCAATGTTAAAGGATGCGAATGCCAAAATAAAAAAATAAACAAGTGCAAACTTGAAGCTAAAGAAATCAAACAGTTAGGGTGATGAAGTTGGTTTGTAGAGGCACATAGAAAATAAAGCTAAAAAAATAAACATTCTCCTATTGGTCCGCTCGCTGTTGTGGAATAAATTGGGAATCACTGGAAGCAAAAGCTAAATAAAACAACAACAAACGACATTCTTCAAGTTGTCAATTCGTTATTGCCTAGCACTCATTTTACTCGAAACATATTCTACTCGTTATAATCTTTCTTTTGTTTGATTTATTTTACTCGTTATCCACGTTCTGCTCGTTACATTTATTCTACTCGCTTCACGCATTCTATTCAGTCATTCTTCTTGTTGGACTCGTAACACACCTTATAATAATTCTACTCTTTAAACTAGTTTTACTCGTTAGACTCGTTTTACTCGTTACAATCCTACTTCATGTGGATAAATCAATCAATAGAAAATAAACTAGATTTCATAAGGGCCAAGCATTAAAAGTTACAGCAATGATTTAAAGTTTTATCATCTTATGAATGTGTGTTTTCCCGGCGACTATTCAAACGAAAGACTGGATGAATCTCGATGTGCATATGCTTGCTTGGTGAATGTATGAGGATTACCCCAGACTTACCACACAACTACAGAGTATTTCACAGTCGATGCTAACGTCTTTTAATGCCAACAATTCCATACAATTTTCCATTGACAATGGGCAAGTGCACAAAGTTAATTACGTTCTCTCTTTCTCTCTCAGTTCCTCTCGATTTCGCAGTCTCGCTCTATCTTCTAATTGCGCTTATTATGCGTTGCCTTATCTCAAATGTCATACAAAACAATATCGTAATTTCAGAGTAATTTCATGTCATCTCTTGGCCTTAGACGCCCTTCCGCCCTTTCTACTTACTTACCTATTTCTGTTTTTTGTTGTTAACCGGCAATTCACAACTGCAGCTGGTCAAAGCAAACACACACACAACTGCTGCTTAAATGTGTGTGTGTGTGTGTGTGTGTGTGTGTGCAGTTGTCATTGCATACTTTCGAGCTATGCCGCGCATGTTGTGACTGTGCCTGTCCTTGTCCCGTGTCTGTGTGTGTTTGTACTACTGAGAACTGATCCGAACCTCGTCCATCTTTCATCCTCTGTTCAATTCTTAGTGGTCGCAACTATCTCGCGGACGCAACACACTGAAAACGGGCCGGGTCGGATCCAGGGTCGAGTTGAGTGGCTCCCACTTAAGTCTGGGCTACATTGTAAATTTCCTCATGGGCCTGCCCCCGTGTGAAGTGTGTGTTGAGTAATTACATTAGTAGGCGGTACTCCTTGCCGTAAAAGTTGGGTAAAGTGCATGCAACTTTTTATACCGTGCCAACTCTCCAAACAATTTTAAGAAACAATTTAAAAAAGAAAAACGAATAACAAAGTAGCGCAATTTACAAAAGAGCGCTTAATGCACTTACTTTTACTAACCAGATTTTATGCGTGGCTTTGCTCACGTCACCTACAGAGAATTTAAATATAAATCAAATTCCCTGTGTTCACAAAGTTAAAGAGTATTCAAGTTCTAATGAACTTTTCACTTGCATCTTAAGTTCCTGTATGCCTGAATTACATAAAATTAACGCTTACTAGAAATTATTGAAAACTAAAACTAAAACATACAATTCTTAGTAAATAGAAAACTTGTACTATAGGCAAATGGAGCAATTAAAAACATATTTTGGGTACTTTTAAAGGACGTCCATGTCTACATCTAGTTCATTCCCAAAACCTGCAATAATAATATTAAATAAGTAAATAATAATAATAAAAGTCGGTCCACAAAGGAATTTATTTTTTGCCAGCTTGAAAACAACTGCCTTTGTTGTTAAATAAATTACGTTTTTGTTTTGCAAATTTGTTAGAAATTGTTAAGCAGCTGCTTAAGCTCAATGCCTCAGCCACAAGCTCTATGCCAAATGTGGTGACATGTCAAAGGTTTAAAGTCCTTTTGCTGTCTTCATCTGTAATTTTCTTGGGTGTGCCCATAAATAACCCGACAATTGCAAAGTTTGCTCCCAACACGAGTTTGATAGGAACTTTATTACGCCAGGTGACTGCTGAGGGGGGTGGTGCTGCTTTAAGTAATCCAGAGTACGTATTTTGACTACTGCAGTGAAATTTGTAAAATGTATCCACTTGAACCTTCAGCAAATTAAAAGAAACTCGAAAGAAAACTGCGCGCAGCTGTAAGCGAAAAGTGACTGAACTGGAAATGTAAATATTCTCCCCACCAAAAGCAAGGAAAATAAATAACAGAAAGCCTTATGGACATTTGTTGGCATTCTTTGAATTTATTTTTAAACGCACAGGTCGAGGGGTCGCCAGACCAATGCGTTTTTTCTTTTCTTTTTTAATCACTTGACCTTTTGCGCGTCGTGTGCTTTTAATTTATTATTTTTACCCAACCGCACTCACAAGTTTTCTTTTATTTTGCTCGAATTGTTTTGTATTTTTTTTGTTTTGTTTTGTTTTCATTTTGTGGCTAAAATGTTTAACTGCATGAAAGAAGAAAATAAATCTTGAAATTGACTTCTTTTCGGGGGGACACCGCGATTTTCTTTTATAAGTAGTTGTTGTTTTTGTTACCTTTTTACAAACTGTCGCCTTTTTGAGTTCTTGCTGACAGCGTGAAAATCAAGATAAATGTTTTTGTTCCTCTTTACGTGCTGCTGGTGGTTAAAATGCGAGCTTATTTATTTTTAGGAAGAATTTTATTTAAAGATCGAAATCTGTTGCAAGGACACCAGCTGACAGCAATGGGGCGAGTAGAGAAAATCAGAGTTTCAGCATTTAATTATTTCTTTATGTCTCTCTGTTGGAATATGCTTTTACCAGGGCTTAGTCAAATTGTAATCGATTATTTGTTTCGTTATAAAATTGCAAATTGACAAACTGCTTGTTTGCATTTAAGCCCCAATCTTGTCCTGTTCAGATAGTTCAAAATTGTATCAAACTCATTTACAACTAATTTTCAAACAGCATTTGGCATTTTGGCGTCTGTCTATATGGCTTTTCCTGCCACATGCGCGCACTTGAAGTCCGACTTATCGCGCTCTTAATCCACACAAAATCACAGAAAATCTCACACTCTGTACACACTCAGAGTCCGTACAAGCTGCGGGCAACTCACAGCAACACGTCAGACTCTTCAACTGGCCAACCGTTTATGCGATAAAAGTCACGATTTTACTCAAAGCAAATATATCCCTGGTAGGATTTTTACTAAGATATGTTAGTAATATAAAAGGGACAAAAAATCATAACATTTTCTTGATCAAAAAATGTACACGTAAAACATCTACTGCCAGCCTTCCTCTGCGATATTCATGAACTCAAGTAAGGATGTACGCATATATTAATTATATTAAGATCAAAATGTACTCCCGATAAATTCACAGACTTAACGTTCTTATGGCTCGAAATCATGAAATAGCATAGCGTATGCGCAGTGGTTGCGTGTGTGGTTGCGTGTGTGGGTGGCTGCGGGGTGCCGCGGGGTTGGACCTTGTGTGTAAATTGGGTTCACCAATGTCGATGGTTACTGTCTGAGTGCTGACTGCTCAGCACTGCTCTGTTCTGCGTGGCATGTTAGACACGGCTTAAAAGCTTAGCGAATAAAACTCAAATTATGCGCTGCGAGCTAGTGAACTCTATGTGTGTGTGTGTTTTTGTGTGTATGGATGTGTGATTGCGTGAGTGTGTGAGTGACTTGATGGTCTGACTTGTCTGTGGCTCCTGTTGCTTAGAGCAATTAAACGATAAGCGTAATCTACGGCGTCAATTTGCCAATTGTCGCTCTCACAAGTGCGTGAAGGCGTCAGCGCGGCATTTCAATTAGCCAGAAATCCCCCACAACAACAAGAACAACAGCAACAACAACCACATCGACACTAGATATATGTACATAGACATATCCTGGCCTAGCTGCTGCTTTTGCAGCACCCGTTCAGCCAACACATTGTGTGTCTGTGAGTCTGGGCGTATATGTGTTTGTGGCCTTTGCGCATATTTCATGAACTTGAGAACGAGAACAAACACAGCGCACAAATGCCGTTGGAGTGTTCAAGGCAAAGGAAAGAGCTGGCACGGGTGGTACGGGTGCGACGGCATGGAGTGCGGCCAATTAGCACAAAGGCATTTGACTAAGTACACAAAAGTGTTTCCGTTTAGGCAGCACGTCAAGTGACAATTAGCTAGGCCGCAGTCGGTCCGTGATTCGGTTTACATTTTTGAGAGGCCTCGAGGCCCGCCACGCAGCGACTTAGTACGCGCATAAAGGGCTCAGTCTCACTCTCTTTCTCTCTCTCTCTCCTCTCACTCTCTCTCTCGTTTTACATTTCTACCTATCTCTCTCTCACTCTCTGTCATCTTCAATATAAGTACATACATCATTTTGATTGTCTTTCTCGTTTATTTTTAGCGTTCTATCGCGCAAGCTAAAGCCACATCTGGTCGCCGACACCGTTAAGCAGTATATAAGTCGGGCGCAACGACCAACAAAAAAGGGTTCTCAAGAGCAACAAAATAACATGGAGTTTTTACGTGGTGTCTATGCGTTTATGCAAGTGAGTAGATCATCGGTGAGTGTCAACTGTTTCCATTTTAACAACTGTACTAATCCATATCAACTTGCTCTATTTTTATTCCGGCAAATTTTGGTTCTTGTTTTACCATACATACCACTGAAAACTATATATGTTGATTCGATACCATTCGATCAAATTCCTAACTCAAATTGAAACAAAAAAAAATCTTCAAATAAATTGAAATAAAATACAAATAAATATGTAACTTTTATCTGCCACTATCTTACTTATTACTACTTCTACTACTACCTTTGTAAACGTAACAAACAACCGAAAAAAAAAACACAAAAACCAAATACAATACAATATGATACAATACTAAAAACAAAATATAAAATAATATTGGTTACATCAATGTACATATGTTATACTACATGACAACTCCATGTTTCTTCTCTGCCATCCATGTAATTGTTAACTAAAAACTATAAACATAAACAACAAATAACTCGCAATATGATTAACAAAATGTATATATGTATATATATATATATAACGACAACTGAAAAATCACCTTACTCCGAGCTACGCACAACAACAACGAGATCAAATACATCGGCGGCAAGAATAGGTTCAAGAATAGCAGTCAAATGCATAAATGGGAAATACGAGAAATAATTAATTTTCTAATATGCTAGGCAATTATATAACAGCATACATACATATACATATTATAAATGAAAGTACCCTGAAATAAAAAACGGAAATATTTAGGTATAATTAATAATATAATAAAACTATAAAGCTGAAACGATCACATCACGAGCGAACTTCAAGCAGAAGCTAAGCTACAATTTGCATGTCACTCATACGTTACCATTATGAATTACCTATCAAATAACTACCCATTGACTTTCACATCAACTTCATACGTGGACTATATATATATATATTGTAGGCCTCCTCTTATCCAAAACATAGCCAGTTCAGATGTGATTCTAACTAGCGAGCGAGTGAGCGTGCGTCCTTTAGCATTACATTAATGTTGTTCAATTCCAAAATAATAATAAAACAAATAAACAAATAAATATTCATCAACAATACTTGAAGAAGCTAACAAAAAAATAATAGAATATTAACAAAAAAAAAGTATGCATATATATATGTATACTTGTATATATATATATAGATATGTATATATATATATATATATATATATATATGTTTATACAGAAAAGAATTTAAAGAAAAGACAGCGTAAACGACAAAAATTCAACAAAGGACAGACATAAAAAATAAACTAAAATAAAGAAAGAACAAAAACGACCGCTAAGAAAAGAAAGAACAGCAACAACAACAATAACAATTGAAAAAAGAACGCGTAAGGCCCGAAAGCGGGCTGCCATCTTCATTGAGCGACCACTTGCCCATTGCCCATTTGCCCATTGTCCATTGTCCATAACCATAGTCCATTTAATACCCATTGTCCATTTGCCATCCCATTCAGATTCAGATTCAGATTCAGGCAACCATGCCCATAATTCTCTGTCTCTCTCTGTCTCTATTACTAAACGCATATATGTATGTATATGTACACATTTATATACATGTTGTCTCTTATTTAATACATAAACACGAACAAATATACCTTCACACACAGAATATGTCCTCTTTACCTTGTCCCCATACAAAAACCAATACAATATCCAGCTGTACGTATTGTCTAGATTTGTGTTCTACTCGTGTTAGTGATTCATCATTTGCTTTCTTAATCTCAAACCTTTTTGTAATTGGCTGTATAATTGATATATGCATAGCGGACCCATTTGTGTTTTCTCGATGTTTATTTATTTCAAAAAATTTCAAAAATTGTAGACTTAAGCCTAGCTTTTGTGTTGTTTTTTATTTTGCCTTTGTCAACCTTTATGTGTGTGTCTGTGTGAGTGTGTGTGTGTGTGTTGTTCAGTACCTTAAGATTTGTTAAACATATATGCGTGCATTACGTATACGCATAGTTGGGCACAAATATTTATGTCTCGATACCGTATTGAGCTCTAAGCCGAATCGCAGCAAATGTTTTAAATAAGCAAAATACTTTATATTTATTCTCAAACAAAATAAAACACAACAACATTGATAACGTCGGTATTAAATGACATGAAGATCGACTACAGCAACAGCAGCGGCGGCTGCGAGCCGACCCTCAGCCTGGTTAATGATGCGAATGCGGCAACTGCATCAACGATGCCGACGACGACGCGCGATACTGAGGCAACAAGTTTAAAGGCAGCTACAGGAACTACGACACCAACTGTTACTGCAACTGCAACAAGAGAGCCGCTAGCTGGAGTAGCTGAATCCGTAGAAGTCGGGGCTGCCACAAGCTCAAGGCTAAGGCTGGCCAGCAAGCCAACGTCTGCGTCCAAGCAGAGCCAGAAACATAGTCAGAGCCAGTACCAAAAAGAGACTTTGCATCAGAATCTGGTGATGATGAAGACAGCCAAAGCCACAAGGTCAACGACAGACAACAGTTGAGAGTGCAGCGAAATGTGGGCAGATGTTGCCAAGAGTCACAACAACAACAGCAGGAGCAAAAATGCAAATGTTAAGAAACAATGATTCATAATCAATCCACAAAATAATGCTAACCATGTGATAACTCGTATGTATGTGTATATAGGCCGTATACTCATGTATAACAATTATTAACACATGATCGTGACGTGAAACAGAACAAAACAAAAACCGAAACACAGGGCAACTAACACAGTGGCCTTAGCTTGTGCAACTGAATCAAAACCTAAATCAAAATTCGATAAACGATAAACGATAAAAGATAACCGATAACTGATAAACGATAAACGATAATCGTCAAGCGATAATCAAACTCAAAATCGATCATCGATACCCAATAACTGATAACTAAATCAAACATTAAATCAAATCATCTGAGTGCTATCAAAAATAACAACATAATATAACTAGCAGCTGAAACTCCAGTAAATTGTTAATTAACAGTAACACGTAACAGTTACAGCATCATTTACATTAACAGTATCTGTAAACGTCAATAACACACACTAAGGCTACGACTGATCTGATTTGCGTGCGTGCGTCGTGCGTGTGTGTGCGTGCCACGCCCACCACCGGCCACCGCGTGCACTCAGAGGGTTGGTTGGTGCCCGCGGTGCCATCCCCCCAAACGCAAAGTGATAGAAAATGGTAATTACAAACAAAACAATTCTAGTCATTAACTATCCTAAATCAAAAAAAAAAAAAAAGAAAGAAAGCAAAAAAAATAGACCTTAAACTCTGTCCAGCTATTCAAAGTTCATCTCTCTATCTCTCTGTCTATCTGTCTCTTTCTCTCTCTCTCTCTCTATCTATCTATCTATCTATCTATCTATTTATCGATCCCCTTTTATCACACTCTTCAAATGCGTTTCCTTTCATAATTAACAAATAATTGCCTATATTGTAGTTCAGATATTATTAGCTGCAATTTTTTCAAAGAGTTATTGTTTATTCATATTATGCTTTAGCTGCCGATTAGCCGTACCAGCGCCATCTAGCGGCTAATGTTTGTGTTAAATTTCGCATTTGATTTTCCTTTAATTTTGCTTTGTCGCTTCTCTCTCTCTCTCTCTCTCTCTCTCGTATCCCTCTCCCTCTCTCTCTCTCTCTGTCTCCATTCATATCTTTGTCTGTCGCATTTAGTTTTTGCGTTTTGAGTCGGATAACATATGAGCGCGATCAACCCAAACAATAATAGAAAAGTAAAACCAAACCAAACAGGGGATGCAAATTCGTTGCAATTGATGCGTAATCGATAATCGATATTTTATTAAAAGCAACGTTTTACGTGAGAACCCAACGGTAACTGATTGCTCGCCTGCCACCAAAATATGCTGCCATCTACGTGAAATTCTGAAAAAAATTAAATAAAAAAAAAAAAAAACAAGAGAAAAAACTATTTAAACCATATAAAAAAATAAATATATAACAAAATGAAAAAGTAACTTCATTAAAATATAATAATCAAATTTAATACAAACTAATTATAAGTAGTGAGAGCAACCCAGCCAAGCCAAGAACCTCTCACCACCAACTTTTTCTCTCCGTCTCTCTCCATCTCTCTCTCTCTCTAATCTCTCTCTTTCTCTCTGTATCTCTCGATAAATATATGTATGCATCTCTATTGCATATACGATATTCACACAAAGCTACACCCAACACACGAAACACCCATGTATTTATATACCGGGGTCAGACACTTTGTAAAAGTATAGTAAAGTGTTGCGAATACCTCATATAAATGATAATAACTGAACAATATGATGATATAAAGCGAAAAACAACTGGCCGAAAGCAATGTCAGCTGAGTTTCTTTTTATTTAATTTCTTTTACACATATACTATAATTTTCCACATATATCAATAACGATGACTATTTATGCGTATCAAATAAGCGACTAAAAGTACAATACAATTTACTTTATAACAATTTGAAATGCTGCGATTAGAAATTGCTGCAAATCAAGCATCGATTCATAAACAGCATTTTAGCCCCTTAATAGCTCTATTGCCGCGTATATGTTGTTCTGTTAAAATATTTTGCCAAAAGACCGAAGAAATAAAACTCTATCACAACAATAAGACAAAACACATAAAAGCAACTTGAAATTTAGCAAGCTCAGCAGGGAACATTGCCCTCTCTCTCTCTCTCTCTCTCTCTTTCTTTCTCTCTCTGTATTTTACCCTCTGTACCTCCCGCAAGCTATTAATATATTTAAAAAAATACTTTTCTTTGCATAATTATTATTAGTCTTATTCAAATTTGGATTATGATTTGTATTGATTTGCTCCCATGATGAGGTTGTTGTTTTATATATTTGGGTTACAACTTCTTTTCAAAATAAAACTTAACACTGAACCACCCTCCAATGCTCCGCCTAACCCCACTAGCACACGCCCAGCAGTACATTGAGAGGACTTAAAAAATGAAAAACTAGACCGAAGAATAAAGTAACCGCAGCGCTCTCTGCAATTTGAAC